ATAGCGCCGAGGTCCCAAGTGAAGCGCCGAGATTCACAGGTATAGCGCCGCGGACCTCGGCGCTAAAAAGCCCTGGGGAGAACCCTGAGTAGTGATGGTATAGTGTGTGAGCAAGATGAACCACAGTCTGACTTCACTTATTTCATTTGATTTCAGGCTGGATGCCACTCTCAAGGAATTGTCCAGTCTAGTAAAAGAAGTCAATCCAGATGCTAGACGGAAAGGCACGTTTTTTGATTTTGCAATTGTATTCCCTGACTTCAGAAGACAAGGATTCAGAATCAGAGAAGTTGGAACCACATGTTCTGGGAGAAAAGGTGCTGATGATGCTGTGACATTGGGAAATTCTCAATTCAAAATTGGTGATTACTTGGATATCGCTATTACCATTCCAGGACGAGGCCCTCCACAAAATAGAAGAGACAATAGACCCTTTTAGTTTTTAATTTCTGGTAGTTTTTTTTGGCAAAGCTATTGGTGCAGTTTTGTATGTAGTGATGTTTTTTTAGCATTTCCTGGAACAAGTAAAAGATATAATCTGGGCTTCACTGTTGCAGTTTTCATCATGAGAACATGATCAGGTTTGGTTTAGTGTTCATAAGTACATTCAAAAAATTCTGTAAATGAATAATTGCTTTCTTTTGCAACCAACAAATACTATAATCCAACGTTCTTGGAGCAGCAAATACATAACTTGTTACGAAGTAATTTTTCACCCGGTGTCAAATTCTGTTGCATCATTTATTCACTGTTTTATTTTCACTGTTAAGTAAAATCCACTAAATTAAATCTTTGTGAACATATAAAATAACAACCAAATTTACTGTTTCCTTGACAAATTTGTGAAATTAAAAACACAGTGAATATGCTCGAAACATTAAAATAGTTATATTAAATGTCAGCAAAAATAAATGGTTTTACAGTATTTGAGTTTTTTTAAAACAGTGCAGTGTGTAGCTCTCTAAGTTTTTGTTGCAGCAGTAAAGATCACATAGTTTCGACATGTCAGATGTGTAGTTTACGCTTTACTTTTAATAAAGTTAAACTGATTTCTTTCTTATAAATGGTATGATCTATTTCAAAATTCATTTTAATGATGCAACATGGCCCTAATGAGGAAAATGTATACATGTTGTGCACATCAAGACACTACATGTATTTAGGATTTTTATTGTGATGCCCGTCTTAACACAAATATGAGAATAAAGTCGTTTGCTAGTGTTATTGGACAGTGAAGTTGTAGAGAAAACATGTCTTGACACCACAGCCCATGTTACCGGTAGTTCAATAGTAAACAAATAAACAAGTCAGCCATTTTGAGTCATAAGGCCAGCCTTTTTTTATTCCCAGTTTCTCAATAAAGATAAAAATAATTTTTTTTAGTAATTTTTTGCACTTACAATTCGGTGGGCGTGAGAAATTACGCTGAAATAAAATTTAATTTTTATTTCATTTTCGGCTCCTGTTCATTCGGTCGGTTTGCAAAACAAGGGATAAAAGTCTGGCTTAACATTTGGTAGGCATAAATTGTGAATGCACTTAATCAATGTGTGTCAGGCATGAATCACGAACAGCATTTGGTCATTTGAATACAATCTGAAAAGAAAGACGACTATCCCAAGATGTGGGCAAAGTTGGATCGGCTGAGACATGTTCTACATACAGGTACACACACACAAAATGGAAGTCTATGAAGTCAAGTTTTTTGACTACATCTGAATGAGGATTAAAAAAAAGGCCTGCATAATAATAATAGAGGGTGCTTGTACATGTGATATTGTTTGTGAAGGACAATCTTGTTCAAACTTGTACTTGGTGCCATTGATTATTAATGTAGATTTTCCTTTTTGACATGCCTGGGGAAAGATATGTCTGTAGTCTTGCACATTTACTTATAAGGGGACCGCTCAATCCCATGGATTGCACCACGTGCTCATGGGTAATTAATTCTGCCTCCGTCCACTAAGTAATGAATGCTTATTATGTTCGCTTACTCAAACTACATTAGCCGCCATTTTAAACTCAAGATTTTTACTTGTCATGGCACGTTTCGACCGAAAACAACATTTATACATCAAAAGCTCAACCAGATGAGTGTATTCGTTAGCGTACATATTCATGCCCCCATGGAAATGTATTTGGAATCACAGCCTGATCTCTAAACATCGTAAATGGCATATTTCACGGAGCTCCCACCATGTCAGCGGCTTGGTTGGGATTAGCATACTAATTGCGGTGGCTCAGCATTCTCTGGGGTTGCACCAGTGCATCATGGGTATTTTAATTTGTATGGTCCACCCAGTTGTTTACTTGGTACACAGCTGTTATCATTTCAACCAAAAGTGTTAATTCTGTAAGCTAACATTATGCATTATGCTATTATCCGATTTGAAAGGACTTATTGAATAGCTTTGTTCAACGCTTTGGGTCCTCATGATCTTTTGAAAGCAACTTTCTTACTTGCATAATGGAGCTCCTTATTTAGTTCTGTGCTTGCACGAAACAGCACATTGTCATAAATAATTGTGGTTTATTTGAATGACCTACACAATGTAGTTATCGCACAGTACAACGTTTACCATAATGTGTCTTGTCGGCTAGACAATAATGACGTCAATAACGTGTGAAAAAAAAGGCGCCAACAAATTAGAAAACACAAAAAAACTGGCACGGGCATACTCGCCTGCTAGACGCCCAATATACACGAATATGTGTGAGATTCGTACATTGCAAAAAGTTCATGAACATGGACAATGTTGTTGGTCACATTTGTGCTTTTGAAATTGTCATAATAAATTTGAGACATATTGTCAGGACGTATTTGTTGACGAGCCCCTCGAACGAACCTCTCTGTTATCATGACCAACCAGAGGCATCAAGTCTACTAATGAAATAAACCACAGCAACTGTGAATGTCTTTTCTTTCAGCGCATAAACTAAGTTATTGGAATGTTTACGCACAGTCCCAGTCTCGTGCACACTTCAGCTCGTGTCATCTGCACATGCTCGACGTATTTTTCCTTTTATACACCCAGAGCCGCAGTTTAAAGGGTAGATGCAGGAATGAGAATTTTCCGTGGATTTCTAAGCCCTAGGGATCGATTTTCTGAAACGTCTAAATCCAAAGAGAAAATTTTAGGGGGGGGGGGGGTAAGAATACAAATCTTGTTCATTCACTGGAAGTAAACACGCTGTTGGGTCATTGTTGTCGGCTGCAAGAGGCCTGTATCAGTGTATGGTCGAAGGAGGACAATTCGCGATGTCTCCAATGCAGAATGTTTGCGACTCTTTTCATCAGTGCAATCGTAAAATCTGAAGTGTTCGAAGTAATATATAACGATTAACATGATTGGCTGGGTTTGCTCTGATGGGCCAATCGGTGAAGAGCTTTCATTTTTCTTTTCACCAATGGCGCCATTTTATTGTTTTAATGGATCGTTGTTTACAGGGTTGTTTACAAGTTTCATGCAGCGATAATGGTGAAATTGGTTACAAAAGATAACGAGTCAGCTGTGCAAAATATTGATAAAGACATTAGGAACAAATTCATTGGGCATGGCTTGACAAGGAAGTGATGACTGCGCGAATCGGGACTACGGTTCTCGGACCCTGGCTACTTTACTTTCAGCTGAAAATTAAAACTCTCATTCTCATCCCTGTAGATGGAACCCGTAGCAAGGATGCAACACATGAAGTCCATAAATAGATGTAAAGTTTGGATATTAAACCATAGATTACTTGCAAATTTGCTTGTGATCACAGTATCTAGTAAAACAATAAAAATGGTGAACAGAAACAACCGACATTGTTTTTGAATTTGTGCAAATTATGTTTAATACGTATCGGATTACAACCAAAAGTTGTATTTAGTTATTTTCATGTTTGTCAAACTTGCAGTCATATACCCAACTAATTTATTAAGAGATTCATCCCTTTATTATACACTTTATCAAATACCGATATTCCAGTAGATTTCATAGCTCTCTCAGATGTAGAGTTGTAGCCCATTTGTCGAACAAACTCAACAGTATTTTAATCTCGTTCTACACAAACTGCTATTCCCATACCACCACCGACACACAATGCAGCGACACCTTTCTTTCCTCCACTGGATTTCAATGCGTGTAGTAGCGTTACAAAGATACGTGTGCCAGAAGCTCCAATGGGATGTCCCAAGGCAATGGCGCCACCACGGACATTAACCTAAAGAAATAAGAAAACCTTATTAAACATAAGTGGAATGATGCAACAACACATAGAAGATGCTTACCTATGCTAGATTTCAAGGATCATAGCAACACAGAGCCAGAGTTTAGGCTTTATACACATGTAAGTATTGGCATCACAAAAAGAACATGTGTGCCAAGTTTTGAAAACTTTGGCGAACATTCTCTGGTAGTTGTATTGTAAACATGTGTAAACCTTTTGTTCCTTAAAAATACCATGTCATGTCACGTGCATTACATAAGAAACCTGTGTTCTAAATTTGAATTACCTAGCTATTACTCCTTATAGCCCATTACATGCATTAACACATACTGTGAGTTGCATGTGAAACACATCTGTCATGTCTTGAAGTTCTGGCTATTTTCCCCTCTAGATATATACAAAACATACATAAATTCAAACTGTGATCTTGACCTTGTCATGTGGGTGACAGAGAAAATTTGTGCCAAGTTTGAAGTATGTACCTATTTTGACTTTGAGTTATATTGTATACATACACACACGCATTATGGTATACTGATATTAGCCTATATGAAGGAGTGCTTCAAGGTCTGAGATCTCTACAATGAGTCCAGAATGTAGGTGTATATATATCGGTAAATGACTGTATTGTCATATTTTAGGTAAAAAATCAGAAATATATATACCAGTACACTATAAAATTGAAAATATTCACTGATATTTCCAGTTGAGTAGGAAAAACAGGCATAGTTGTTTTTTAGGAACAATATTTTTACCTTTTCAGGATTAAGATGAAGGTCCTTTACAACAGCCAGTGACTGTGCAGCAAAGGCTTCATTTAATTCATATAAATCCACCTCATCTTTATCCCAACCAGCTTTCTCTAACTGTAATCAAACGTTCAGTATTAAACAGTGATAGTAGTAGCAGCTGAGCACACAATAACTTTAATGCAAGACTTTTTGTTTATCTATGAAAAATAAATCCATTCGTCATCAAAATTTGTAATATAATAGTTGAATGCAATACTAGTATTATCAATGCAATAATAGTATTATAGTGACCAACCAAAAAGTTATATTTCATACTTCTCCACTAATTTCTGCATAAGTTTTTGTTTTTGTGTCACACAAAAATGAACGGTGAGAGATGTCTCACTTTGTGAAAAAAAAAAAAAAAAATCAAATGACCAGAAAGGAATCATGCAGTAAAACAAATGTCCTCAAAAAGCTCATCCCATTAAAAAAAGACAACTGACCAGAAACAGCTCCATGGAAGAATAAAAGAATAAACTCCTGCATGATGAGGGAATTGAATACATAAATATAGCACTGCTGTCAAAGCAATTTGATCCACAATATTGACAGGGGGCACCTATGTTTTAAGTTTCATTGACATATGCAGAAAAGTTCTTGAGTTAATACTAAAATAGCTAAAATTGTTATGCAAATTAGATAATTAATAACATTTGTTAACTGAAAAATAATCAGATCTGGATATTATCACAGTGCATCTATGTTTCATCAGTTTTTGATGTATCACTTGATATACAACTAATTATTGGCTACTTTTCATGCAAATTAGGTAATTAATATGCAATGTTTTCCACCATATTTCTAATCAGGTCTGTGTATTACCCCAATGCATCTATATATATGTTGAACGGTTCTTGAGAAATCAGATAAATTGCTGAAAATTGGCTCATTATTATGCAAATAAAATCATTAATATGCATGGATGTGAACCAAAAACTAATCAGGTCTGTGCATTATCTACCCCGGTATATACCAAGTTTCATGAAAACCCAAACAGAAGTTTTTGAAATACTGATGGAACAGCAATACAGAGAGGGTAACCACAAAGATGCCCAATGTGTGCTTTGCATATTGGAGTCTAAAATACAAATGATCATGTCTTAGTTGACCAAATTTATAAATTAAATATTTTTGATATAATACCTTAACCTCATCCTATACTTACAGCTTTCTTGACAGCTGGTATTGGTCCAGTACCCATAATAGCAGGATCTACTCCGGCTTGTGCCCAAGACACTATCCTTGCCAATGGTTTCAAACCACGTTTACTGGCCTCGGATTGTTTCATTAAGACCACTGCACCTGCCCCGTCATTAATCCCTGCAGTTTAAAAAAATAAAACACTTCTGAGTACACTGAATTTCAATAAACCATGAGTATTTTTATATAAAACATTTATTGAATTTTTTGAATTCAAAAGATGGTTAAAGACAACTTGAACTACTGACACTGACAAACCCTTAGAATGACAAAGACCCATCATAACAAATTCCCGATACCTGAACAAGAATATATTGGATACTAAACTATAGTGACAAAATTACTTATAATATTTTAAAATATATGCAAACATTTTTGTATTCTTTGATGGAATTTATGTTCTGATTGATTTGCAATGGGTGCAAATCAGATACAGAAACTCAATGGCATGGGTTTTATCAAAGTCACTGTACCAAATGTTGAACTTGACAAAACATGCATAAGATACCGAATTTTCAAAAAAAAAAAATGGCTGCCAGTGCATGTGCATATGTCCCAGATGAAGTGCCAGGCACATGCAAAGAATGAACAGATTTGGTCCACAGGGTTCTGAAATATGATGAGAATAGATGGATTATAATTATAGATCCTTGTTTTGAACTTCGTTACATGCTATTTTCATACATGTGTATTATTCAAAATATGTGTATCTATCAAGTAAATAGTGTTTGTTTACATACACATAATTTGTATGGCCAGAGGTGAGTATGAAAATAATTGTCTTGTGTTCTTGATTATCACCTCCAACAGCGCCCTCTGTAGTCAGATCCATGATTATCTTACCTGAAGCGTTTCCAGCAGTCACAGTTCCAGTTCCATCTTTGATGAAAGCTGGTCTTAACTTAGTTAAACCTTCCATTGTACAACCTGCACGGGGGAATTCATCTTGAGTTACTTCTGTTGAGCCCTTCCTAGACGTTATTGTAACTGGTATTATTTCTTCCTTGAATAAATAATTTTTTTGTGATTCTTCTGTTGTTTTTTGTGACTTCAATGCAAACTCGTCCTGCTTTTCTCGTGTAATATCCCATTGTTTGGCAACATTTTCAGCTAACAGGAAATAACACATCAATAATTAGTTTTTAAGAGCATGCATAATTTTTTTAATCTCAATATTGCTCTATATACAATTAATGTTTTGCTTTCAAAAAATTAATATTTGCAATTATTAAATCATGCAAGATGTTACACCTTACTCCATCAGTTACACTTTACAGTAATGCTCACAGCTAGTTTATTAATCAATGATTTTTTTTTGATTTTTTTTAATTTTAATTTTTCAAAAAAAAAATTACTACTGTGATAAACAATAGATAAATTGACTCCAAATATATTTACACATTGGAAATCTATAGGATTTAAAAAAACAAACAGATATCAAACATCCAGTTACATGCATTTACACTATTGTTACCAGTATTTTCTGTGATTGACTCACATTTAACAATTATGGACATCATGTACAGGGGCATTAACTATCAATATTTTTTTTGTATTATGCAGATTAATGGGCAAGCCAAATTACAGATGGGAGTGAGTGTAAGTTACAGTCATCCTGCAGAAACCCACTCCTCTCTGGAACAATTAGAACACATTGACTAAAGACAGAAACACGCAATCAGGCTTTTAGCCAGACATTTGTTCACCTGTTAATTTTAACAGACACTCCATATTTTAGACAGATACAAAACTTGATTTGACAAATTGATTTGACAATTGAAAACCATTTTTACTGAATAACCACAAATAACCAATAACCAACAAAAAGACTACAAGTGACTACAGACTAGTAACTACAATCTTGCATTTCGACATTGATTTCCAGCTATAACCTTGGTAACAACACATTGGACCAAAAGTTTCTTCTGACTGGATGCTGCAATCCAAACCATGAGCCTAGCAAGTGGGCAAGTGGGCAATATGTGCTTGTTTTGTACTATTGAGTGTACAGCCAACCATGAAAATCAGACCAATAATCTTCCTGATGCAGGGTAGGCATGCTAGCTAATTAAGTCTGATTATATATCATCTCAGTAAGCTGAGTATGCTAATCAACTCACCAGTAATTCCCATGTGATATTTATTTATTGCACATGTTAATCCATCACTCATCATGCTGTCTGCTAATCCTACATCACCAAACTTTAAACCATTTCTCACATGTATACAGTGTGGTGCCTAAAACAATTAAATACAAAAATTATACATTTGAATAATACTATAATATGTATATATGCACTCTCTGCATGTCCTATATATGACAATCAATTTACTAAGACAGGATGATTTATAAATAGTTTGGCATACCCATTTTACATCAATGAATTGAAATATATACATTATGTAAGCAAATTGGGGTCACTATTGACAATTCACTCAATAAGTACAATTTCAGAAAACCCATCAATTCTAAGTCAAAATGGCCATAATTCTGTACACTTGAAAACTGATGTTGTACATATTCATATCTCCTCTATTATGGTCAGTCACTAAACTGACAAAATTTATGAATTGAATCATGGATGAATTTATTCGCAATTTATTGTTCA